TTATTTACGACCCGCAAAACGTATTAGTTATTCGGAATTCTTTAACGAGGATGGTATTTCTGTAAAAGAAGACACAGCTGATTCAAAGTCGATCGCATCTGATGACGATTCCGAAGAATTTTTACCAAGTTCCGCTCGTCGTTCGGCAGCTATCAAAAAGTCCAGCCACTCTTCAAATACCTACACAACTACCGCCCCAAAACGCTTAACACGGCGTCAAGAAAAACTCATTAATAGTTTGAGTACCAGCAAGCATTTGTCTAGTGACACTGGAAACTTAAATTCAGCTACAACTGCAGTTGCGGAATCGCTTGTAGCAGTCGAGGAAGAACGTATCTTCCTTATTGATTTCGGTTTGGCTTCCAAGTTTATGGATAATGGGGTACATCGCCCTTTTGTTATGGATCAGCGCCGCGCACATGATGGCACTTTAGAATTTACATCGCGTGATGCTCACATGGGTGCCCATTCACGCCGCAGTGACCTAGAATGTTTGGGATATAATTTAATATTTTGGTCTCAAGGCTATTTGCCATGGAAAGATGCTGCAACACAACATCAACAAGAAAAGGTACATCGTGCTAAGGAGTACCTAATGACCGATGTGCGCGAAATGCTAAAGCAAATCTATGGCAAACAAGTTCCTAAATATTTGGGTGAATTTCTACATCAAGTTGGCCAATTGGCCTACCACGCTCGTCCGGATTATGCACGGTATCGTCGCTTATTCGAACGTGAGTTTGAACAACTCGGATATTCACTTGGTGAATTGCGTTTGGACAGCAACGAAATTGCCCGCAGTTGTGTGCGCGTTAAAGAAGAAATCGAGAACAAAAATGATATATTCGAAATGAATAAACATAACGGTAACGCAGCATGGAGTATTATGAACTTGTCAGTTGGCACACCATTCCATGAGCGCACTCTATCCAATCGAGTGTCGCCGAAAAATTTGAGGTCTAAATCTGATAAGAAATCAATGAAAAAGAAAAAGTTCTCTTGGGCGGAAATACTATCACAAGATCCCGATCAGATCGCACGCGAACGCGCAGAAAAGGAGTTCGATCGTGAGGAGGAATTGAGTGAAGTTCAACAACCAGTAGCGCGTCGGTATGAGGGAAAGCCAACGTATGCTATACTTGAGATACAACAACGCTTAAAATTAAGCGGGAGGCTAGTAGAAGAGAATTGCGATTCACAACAAGAAGATAATCAAACTGACGAAGATCAGGATGATGACGGCCAGGAAGAGGTAAATTTCTTTAGGTTTGATATTGTCATAAATATTAAAAGCTATACACTGATAAGCAGGAGGACATGGAAGTGGACGAGACAGATGAACCAGAAGACAATGGAGATGATTGTGACGATGAAAGCGAAGACGATGATGATGATAATGACGAGGAGGAGGAAGAAGAAGACGTCGATACAGATTCTACTGAAGACACCAACTCTGTGCTTAACGGTGGACGTAATACACGAGCACACAACACCCGATCAACTAGAACAAAGGTGCCAATGAAATCTTCAGACAGGGAAGTTCGAAATCGAGGCAGCGTAAAGCAGCGTTCAGTAAAATCTACAGCCAAAACAACACCACATGTAAATAAATCAAGAACAAGCCAACCTGTCACAAAGTCTATTAGCAAACGTTCTAGTGCCAGTACAACGCGTAGTAATCGTAAAGGTTGTAGTAATGATGCTATGCAAAATGTCGATCACGCTACGGTTAGTAACAGCAGTGCAAGTGGAAGGCCAGAACGACGTACTCGTCGTTGCTTAATTAAGACTGATACAGAGATGGATGATCCAATGGATCAACAGGAAAGTAATTCAAATTTCAGTCCGGATGTTTGTAGTTTATTCAACGTCTGGAAAAAAATCAATAACGAAAATATTTACTATCGTGGCAGCAATGCCGCAGCAGCGGCATCAACCCGACACTGTAAGAAGTGAAAAAATAAACGTATACATACATACATTTAGAGGTTCCAGAGAAACTTTGTAATATTTCTAAATTTTACACTGTTTTCAACTATTGTACTTTAATTTAAATAAGCATTAATTTGAATGCTTCAATGGCATAGAATAAACTAGAGTAGTGCAGAGGACCCATTACAAAAAAGAAATTAACCGAAGGAAAGGTTATAGATAATATTCATGGCATGTTTACATTTTTAACACAACACGTTTAACACAATTTGCGAAGAAAATTCGAAAAGGGGTGAGCAAAGTTAAAATTGTAACAAAGGAACTCATAATAAAAATAAAACATTTGAATAACATTATACAATATTTTATGCATAATAGTTAATTTTATTATGATCGTATGCCCAAAATGTAAACAAGTACGTAAACACAGAATTCTAGGGTTGAGTTGTTTTTACAATTGGTTCAGAATAATTTAGCAGTTATAAAACGTGGATAAAAAATTCAAATACTATTGCCGCTGAAAATATACATATTTTGAACTACTTTCGAGTTTATTTATAAAATATAAATCCATAATAGCGTGAACAACTGCTGTACATTTTGTATAAATATTCAGCAAACACATTACTCTTTAAACATAAGTAATTAGATTTAGGTAAAGTCTAAAAAATTTAAATAGGATCGTGCCGTATTGATTTATGAGCAGAACAGTAAATGAAGAAGACACACCAGGCGCACACAAATACTGTAATGAATGTTCATCGTTTGGATGGAGTTGTTTTCTTCCAAGACTTAACATTTTAAATGCAATGCACAAGCATAATTTTGAATTGTAAAAGCCTTTCTCAGCAATTGTTTTTCCATATGTATACATGTGCACTTTGTCAACATTATCAACGGCGATATTTTATTGACGATTACACCCAATCGCCTGATTTAAGCAAATAGCTTGTAAGTTTTGCTGTTAATGTAAATGTTATACATAATTCTTCTTATATTTCTTAGTTTGTTTGCATCTAATACATATGTGCATCTGGGTCATAATGAAGGCCTTTCCGTTATAGTCCAGCCCTTAGCCTATGTGGAACTGTAAGTGCCCACATAACATAGCGATGTTGAACACCGTAGCATCAGTATGTGCTTACAAGTACATTAATATGCATTCACTTGTTTTCCTTTAGTATGTTTGCAATTAGTTATTTTTATACGCAAAACCATAACTGATCAATTGCCAATACACCAAGAATTTGTGTTTTTTAATTTGTTTAATCTTTTATTATTATTGCATACTTAAGAAAAATACCTATATATTAGCCATTAAATAAAGGAATTCATAATAAAAACCATTAAACTTCATAGGATTATACAAACATTAAATAAAAAATAAAATAAACAGATTAAATAAAAGTGTTTTTATTAATATGCACGCGAACTTAAAATTGTGGTCTAAGTGGGTTGATAAGCGAATGTACTTTGATATAACTCCAACATTGCATTGTACGACAGCTTTCGGCGGAAAGTTAGAGCGAACTTCCGCGATGCTATTTATCATACCCGCGCTAGCTATTGTTAAGTCTACCGCTAGCTGCTAGCTGCTGCAGCTACCCACAACCCTGGTGGAGGTGTCGCACAGTGGAAGTACCAACTCCCACAGTGGAAGTGTACTCCCATTTTACTGTAATTTGTTATGTGATATTTTTGCTTAGGAATGAAGAAATCTGAAGTATCGCACACTACACTAGGTGGCGGAAATGGTAAAAGCTTTCGACCTTCGGCCAACTCAGGCCTAAAGTTTCGATACTAAAAATTATAGCATGCGCAGGTTTATTCAACCCTGTGGAGAAGTGCAAAAACATATCGGTATTGATTTTTAGTTAGAATAATTACAAAATTCACAAAACATAACCACTTGGTGCTACGATATCGAATCGACGGGCAGGTAGTAGATCGACCTACATATATTGGCAGCCAGTTCGAAAACGGCCAACCTCAGAAAACTTTTCAAGAACGCTCTGTTTCAGAATTCGGTTCCCTATCTCAACATATTTTCAGTTGAATTTGAACCAAATTCTAAAATAGGGCGGTTTTCAATAAACTTCTGAAATAGAGCGTTCTGAAGTAAGGTCTTCGTGAAAGTTTTCTGAGATAGGGCGTTTTTAAACCCGCTGCCAAAATAGTTCGATCTTCCACTCAGCCATCGAACTACGGTATTATAATTAAATTAATCTGGATAAATCACAACATTGCTGAGTTATCCGGCAAACCAAACCTGACTTAACTCAGGGAAAAGCTTGTTCCGTGTTCCGGATCTTACGAATAAGTTCTCGTAATTTAAGTTGTGTTAGACTTCCCCTAATTTGCGCTCGGGTCAAACTTAATAATAACGTTATCCAAACTAATTCAAGCGATATTATTGATATTAACCAAATTGAGCAAGTGGTCGGCTGTTGACAAAAATGCAGTGCTCTTCGAATTAGTTAAAAGGTCAGTATAAATACTTATGTACATTTGCATATCGATTAACGTTTCAAGAATTAAAAGAATCGGGGCTATTGATGAATATTTGGCGGTCCCATTATCATGAAATCTACTTAAATTCCATCACTGAATCACAATTGATATGGACGTATAAACATATGTATATATACATGCTAGGTTCTTAGGTATTCGAATTCAGTGATAGCATTTTCGAAAGTTTCACGAAAAACGAACTTAAAGTGGATTCAGAAATAGTTCCTATCCCTATTATGACCTGACAAGAGAAGCGCTTTAAAAAACTACATGGTCACCGTTACCACGACAGTCAGGTCTACGAAAACGGAACGACCCAGATTTAAATCTGGCCAAGATCTGTAATTTTATAATCACTCCCAAAAAAACTCCTTGAGAAATTTGTAAGCTGTTACAAAATCAACACCATGGTCACCCCATAAAAGGGCAAAAGTGATGCTGGGTTTGTGAACTATAGAGACATATATTATATTCGAAAACCCATGTGCTGCTTTACACCCATTATCCTTTTGATAAAAGTTTGTTTGGTGAGTCGAAGAAAGTGTAAACTTACATACCTCTAATATCTGCTCAATGCCTTCAACGCGTCGCAGGAGCGATAACAATCGCATATCGGCACAACCGAAGTCCACAACCTATATTTACGTAAATTAATATACAACTTAGTGTTAATATATGTACAAAATTTAAGCAAACATGAATCCAAGTACTGCCTCACTTTTTTAAATTTGTGTCCCCACCGTGAGTCTTCCAGTATGCGCACTGCTGTAGTATACCGTTGCTCGTACACAGGAGGATCAAACTTGATGTCGCCCTCGGAATTTATATAACAACGAGCACGTAAACCTCCATCGGGTAATTCATAGGAAAACATATTTTACAAATTTACCGGCAAAGAACGAAATAAATCAGTGTAGTTTATACAATTTACGCGGTTCTGTGATTGACTGTGAAAGCGTCATTTGTTTATATTTCTTTGTTTTCTTTCGTTCCAGTTTCACAACGTTTCGTTGGATCATTATGTTCCCGCACTGGAGTTTGTAGCAATTGTGCGCGATGGAGCGAACAAACATGGCGCATTCGTTTGTTGAACGAAAATCTGAGAGCGAGTAGATGAAAAGTACCTAGTGAGAGAAGGAAATCAAATTTGTGCCGAAAGCCGATCCAGAAATTACAGATCGGCGTAATAGCTGAAACCAAAGCGATTTTTATTTTCTTAATTTCGGTTATCTTATAGAAATTTTCAAATAAGATGGTGTCAAATCATTGTTCTCCGCTTCTGTACAACAAATACATCATTAGCCGTGTTTTATTTGTCCAGAAATTTAAGCTATTAGCTTATTTTGTATGGAGGACTTACCCAACATAATTATATTGGCTTATGAAAAGTTATCTTGGCTTATATATTGAACAAGAGGCATTGCCATTCAGCATCGGAAATTTTCTCCTTCAGCCAATCAGAAAGAGGCAAAAACTTACTTTGACACTATTTGCAGTCAAACAACTGTCAAAATTAGACTAACATAGGAAATAATTTCGTTTTATTTGACCAAGATTTAGCTATTTGCTTGTGATAGTTGAATAAAACATGCCTATTTTTACATTTAGGTCAGATCTTGTGTAGTTGGATTATGATTTTTTATCTTGATAAAAGCATTTGTAAGGTGGCTATTTTTTCCGGATTTCATCACATAAAAATTTAAAACATATGCTATTTCACACCCAAGCGAATAATAACAAATATTTAATAGAAAACAGCTAAATTTTTGCCTTTATATCGAAATATCAATAATGTTGTCTCCACGAAGCTATCGGGCAAATGAAAATATAGCTGTCAAAGTACCAAATTGCTGGCAATATTTATCAAGATAAAAGCTCTGTTAATTTATGCTTGCCAAGAGCAATATGCGGTCTCCATGGGCAAAATTTTGCCTCGTAACATTATCAAGATAAAAACTTTTGCCTGTGGAGACATCTAGTAAGCATACAAGTGGAATTCTTTGCCTTGCCAACGTTCACGCTGGGGCGAATTTATACAAGGTGGTGTTACTGGCGAATTTAGATTTTCGCCGCAGTACTTTCTAATGTCAAAATGAGGTGCAAGGCGAATTTATACAATACAATACAATACAATAAAATATAATAAAAATACAATGTATAAATTCGCCTTGATGAGGTGTTTGTTTTAAACAAGGCGAATTCTTATTACAACAGACACATCCAAGGCGAATTTATACAAGGTGGTGTTGATGGCGATTTAAGAGTTTCGCCGTGGTACTTATTCATGTCAAAATGATGTGTATGTTATAAACAAGGCGAATTCATATCTAAATTCGCCAGTAACACCACCAAGGCGAATTCATTTTACAACAAACACATCATTTTGACATTAAGACGTACCTCGGCGAAAATCTTAATTCGCCATCAACACCACCTTGTATAAATTGTATTTGTAACTGGTTTTGAGAAAAGTTTACCAAAGCGGGTTCGTCAGCTGAGCATTTGTTTACAGCATACTTTACGCTTTTCTTTAACTAAAGAGTAAATTCAACACGACATGTTTTAAAGCTTTTTAATGAAACATTTTAGCCGAATTGTATGTTTAAAATGACTTACAATAATTTTGGTTAATTCTGGTTTTCTTTGCTTTTACTTTTTTTCTGTTTTCCAGCGAAACCAGATGGCGTAGAACCCGCTCAAAAAATCAACTTTTTTCTCTCCCTTGTTCTTACGTGATCTTGTGTCTTCGTTCATGCACAGGTGTAAATTGGGTGTAAATGCAGTCCTAGGAATACTGGCCGATTCTGACAGAAACTCCCCGAGAGTTTCCTCTTTTCCCTTTCCTCCTATCATGAATAAAAATTCCCCCCCCGAGGATTTTTTATATTAAATGGCCAAGTTGAGCTCCCAAAAGCGTGGAACAGCTTTTTTGATGTTGGAATTTCCTCCTCCCAAGTTTTCGGGGAAAAAGCTACTACCTGGGAGTTAATTATTGGTGGATTTCTTTCTCGGGAGAAACAAATTCCCGGAGAACAAACTCCCCGGGAGTATTAAGAATTGGCCTGATAATAAAATTAACCCCATTTCGCAAACACTGGACACGAAATGTAGTTTTGTTTCCCGAATGGTTGAAATTTTTGACTTTTAATTTTTTTAACTTTTGTAAAAAAGAAGTCAATGCACAATAACGAAAGTCTTACAAATGCTTGCACATTTCAATTAAAAAATGGATTAATGGCCCTATTATGAATGGCAACTGGTGTCTAGTTGCTGGTCTAGTAGCCACAAGGCTACCAGTATCGTACTTTGTATACAGAAAAGCGCAGACAACGTCCGAATTTACTTTTTTGACTTGTGCATTTCGAAGTAATTGGCAACTTTGCTCCGATGCGCTTAACAATTTATGTATATAACAAAATCGTCACAAGCGGGAAACCAAAAATTTCGCGACCAGACTCAGTAGCCAGTTGCTATACATTTCACATCGGCTATCAGTCGCCATGCATAATAGGGCCATTAATTTCGATAGTGAAAACTGAAACTATCGAATGGCGAACCCGATGCTTTGGCCCGATGCATTTCTGAAGAGGACGCAGCCATTCCCTACTCACTTAATATATAATTGAAATCAACATTCGGCAGGCGTTTGATTAACAACAGTTTTTAAGTTTCTCTAAAATTTTCTTTATTAACGTTCATATAACATTTTTGAATCCATCAAAATAAGCACCTGAAATAAGAGAAAAATTAGTCTTTCTACAAAATGAATTTATAGATGTAATAAATACAGCAAAGATTGTCAGTGTACTTTTATCATCAAGATTGTCTTTATGACAGGGATAACTAAAAATCATCATTAGCAATGATATTATCGAGCTGTAAATGAAAGAATCCTTACCGATATGAGCAAGGATCATTGTCTTAGCGTGGTTTAAAGCAGAACTGGACCGTAAATGCCTCCTTTGTTCTTGCATTCCTGAATTAAATAAATTTAATATTAGATGGCTTCTACTTATACTTACATATAAGAAAAATTACATGTTTAGTCAGACGAAAGTAATCAACATAGGAAATTCAGTTATATGCTTGTCTACTTTAATTATCATCATGAACGTGCGTTGTATGTAAAATTAATTTAAATGAACTAACCTTAAAACGTCGTTTACACCATGATTAAATGCTGCCACACTTTATACCATTAACATTGGATGTTTTGACTTAAACTTCCATAGATCAAAGAAAATTCTGAATGAATCCATTTATCCAGAAATTTAATCCTCATTATCACCACTTTCTTAGGTGAATGAATGCAATTTAATCATATGAAGCTTTAGTTCATCAACGGAAGCTGAAATAACAAAATTTGATTGCTTAATCAATTATAAAATTAGTCAGACTTCCTANTTGCCAAGAGCAATATGCGGTCTCCATGGGCAAAATTTTGCCTCGTAACATTATCAAGATAAAAACTTTTGCCTGTGGAGACATCTAGTAAGCATACAAGTGGAATTCTTTGCCTTGCCAACGTTCACGCTGGGGCGAATTTATACAAGGTGGTGTTACTGGCGAATTTAGATTTTCGCCGCAGTACTTTCTAATGTCAAAATGAGGTGCAAGGCGAATTTATACAATACAATACAATACAATAAAATATAATAAAAATACAATGTATAAATTCGCCTTGATGAGGTGTTTGTTTTAAACAAGGCGAATTCTTATTACAACAGACACATCCAAGGCGAATTTATACAAGGTGGTGTTGATGGCGATTTAAGAGTTTCGCCGTGGTACTTATTCATGTCAAAATGATGTGTATGTTATAAACAAGGCGAATTCATATCTAAATTCGCCAGTAACACCACCAAGGCGAATTCATTTTACAACAAACACATCATTTTGACATTAAGACGTACCTCGGCGAAAATCTTAATTCGCCATCAACACCACCTTGTATAAATTGTATTTGTAACTGGTTTTGAGAAAAGTTTACCAAAGCGGGTTCGTCAGCTGAGCATTTGTTTACAGCATACTTTACGCTTTTCTTTAACTAAAGAGTAAATTCAACACGACATGTTTTAAAGCTTTTTAATGAAACATTTTAGCCGAATTGTATGTTTAAAATGACTTACAATAATTTTGGTTAATTCTGGTTTTCTTTGCTTTTACTTTTTTTCTGTTTTCCAGCGAAACCAGATGGCGTAGAACCCGCTCAAAAAATCAACTTTTTTCTCTCCCTTGTTCTTACGTGATCTTGTGTCTTCGTTCATGCACAGGTGTAAATTGGGTGTAAATGCAGTCCTAGGAATACTGGCCGATTCTGACAGAAACTCCCCGAGAGTTTCCTCTTTTCCCTTTCCTCCTATCATGAATAAAAATTCCCCCCCCGAGGATTTTTTATATTAAATGGCCAAGTTGAGCTCCCAAAAGCGTGGAACAGCTTTTTTGATGTTGGAATTTCCTCCTCCCAAGTTTTCGGGGAAAAAGCTACTACCTGGGAGTTAATTATTGGTGGATTTCTTTCTCGGGAGAAACAAATTCCCGGAGAACAAACTCCCCGGGAGGATTAAGAATTGGCCTGATAATAAAATTAACCCCATTTCGCAAACACTGGACACGAAATGTAGTTTTGTTTCCCGAATGGTTGAAATTTTTGACTTTTAATTTTTTTAACTTTTGTAAAAAAGAAGTCAATGCACAATAACGAAAGTCTTACAAATGCTTGCACATTTCAATTAAAAAATGGATTAATGGCCCTATTATGAATGGCAACTGGTGTCTAGTTGCTGGTCTAGTAGCCACAAGGCTACCAGTATCGTACTTTGTATACAGAAAAGCGCAGACAACGTCCGAATTTACTTTTTTGACTTGTGCATTTCGAAGTAATTGGCAACTTTGCTCCGATGCGCTTAACAATTTATGTATATAACAAAATCGTCACAAGCGGGAAACCAAAAATTTCGCGACCAGACTCAGTAGCCAGTTGCTATACATTTCACATCGGCTATCAGTCGCCATGCATAATAGGGCCATTAATTTCGATAGTGAAAACTGAAACTATCGAATGGCGAACCCGATGCTTTGGCCCGATGCATTTCTGAAGAGGACGCAGCCATTCCCTACTCACTTAATATATAATTGAAATCAACATTCGGCAGGCGTTTGATTAACAACAGTTTTTAAGTTTCTCTAAAATTTTCTTTATTAACGTTCATATAACATTTTTGAATCCATCAAAATAAGCACCTGAAATAAGAGAAAAATTAGTCTTTCTACAAAATGAATTTATAGATGTAATAAATACAGCAAAGATTGTCAGTGTACTTTTATCATCAAGATTGTCTTTATGACAGGGATAACTAAAAATCATCATTAGCAATGATATTATCGAGCTGTAAATGAAAGAATCCTTACCGATATGAGCAAGGATCATTGTCTTAGCGTGGTTTAAAGCAGAACTGGACCGTAAATGCCTCCTTTGTTCTTGCATTCCTGAATTAAATAAATTTAATATTAGATGGCTTCTACTTATACTTACATATAAGAAAAATTACATGTTTAGTCAGACGAAAGTAATCAACATAGGAAATTCAGTTATATGCTTGTCTACTTTAATTATCATCATGAACGTGCGTTGTATGTAAAATTAATTTAAATGAACTAACCTTAAAACGTCGTTTACACCATGATTAAATGCTGCCACACTTTATACCATTAACATTGGATGTTTTGACTTAAACTTCCATAGATCAAAGAAAATTCTGAATGAATCCATTTATCCAGAAATTTAATCCTCATTATCACCACTTTCTTAGGTGAATGAATGCAATTTAATCATATGAAGCTTTAGTTCATCAACGGAAGCTGAAATAACAAAATTTGATTGCTTAATCAATTATAAAATTAGTCAGACTTCCTAAATGCATTAATACAAAGCATCAATCTCTAAACTATGTTTGATGGAAAGGAAACGCCTAATTTGAGCAACTAAGTCCCAATTTGGCATTTCCACGTGGTTGTGCATATTGGACATTTTCTTCAGGTATAGTTTAGAAATAAAAGAGACATGCTTTGCATTGATGCATTCAGGAAGTCAGCCGAAAATGTTCTACATAGGAAATTGTCTCTTTTAATTATCGCAAACGTAAGTTTGTATAAAAAAATGTATTCATAATGAACTAACCTTAGCCACCGTTTAAGCCATAATTGAATGCAGCCGTTTTTCTTCACGCGCCTAAAATTAAAAAAAATATCTACATAAGTTACGTCTACTAATAGTCAATATACAATTTTCTAATCCTAATTATCAGAAGTTTTAACCAATCGTCAGTATTTATCCGACTGGGGCGGTAATATTAAGCATCATGTTTAAACATTTTGATAAATCGATTCTTCTTCATTGAAGTTACCTTTTAGCAGCAGACATCACATAACCTAAACGTGCTTAGGTCGACAATTTTCAAGGAATCCATCTATCCAGCTATTCACCATTAAATGCAGCCACGTTCTTCTACACGCGCCTAGAATTAAAAAAATACCTACATAAGTTACGTCTACTAATAGTCAATATGAAATTTTCTGATCCTAATTATCAGAAAGTTTTAACCAATCGTCAGTAATTATCCGACTGGGGCGGTAATATAACGGGTGATTTTTTAAGAGCTTGATAACTTTTTTTTTAAAAAAAACGCATAAAATTTGCAAAATCTCATCGGTTCTTTATTTGAAACGTTAGATTGGTCCATGACATTTACT